CTGGCATCCCATCCTTACGCTCACAGATTTGCCGTAGAAATATTTGAATGAGGTTTTTTAAAAAATCATTTTCCATGCGTTGAGGGTTGTGATTTTCATGTAGAAGTAAATACGAGACAGGGAGAAATCTACACAGATTAGTCTTACTACTATTATTTTATTATTACCTTCCTAAGCGAAATATTATCATTATAGGACTGCAGTTATACTATTTATGACAACTTTGGGTCATTGTTCAAAGCGTACGGTACAAAAATACCCACAGGAAAATACAGTAAGTTTTCATATCCATCGTAGAGCATACTCTGCCATGCAGACATTTACGACCAAACTATTGACACGCATGCATTATTGATACGACTCGTTTAGATTGAATTGAGTTAACAGCTCCTCGCCGTGCACGTGAATAATCCGGTTAGGGTGACTGATATTACTTACGTATACTAGTATAAGTCGATGCGGAAGACTGAGAGTCTTGGGAGGTAAGGTACGAGGTCAGTCCGTTGTATCATGCAGGGGGTTAACCTGTATGTTCACAAATTAATCGATCTCCATAGATATGACTTCTCATTAGACTACGACGAGAGCTACATTTGGCTGATTTATTGATTCGATAAGAAAATTTGACGTAACGGTGGTAGACATTAAGTCAACACGTTCTGACAGCGCTTGCTGGAGCACCGTATTCCCTTTTTCACGTTCACGTAAATTATCAAAGATGTCAAGACATGTTCCCCGGGACAATGTATAGAGCTGATAGTAATATCGGATGTGCTTTCAAAATCTCCGGAGAAGGCATTGATTGTTCAATTCAAATAGGATAGTTATGATAAACTTGAGTGAACTTTAAGAGAAAACAATACTACGGCTTCATCTATTTCAGTAACTAAGATCTAAGTCGGCTTAACAATTTCGACAAGGTACGGATTAAGTCTAATCTAAAACATGAATATACCATGGTTTCATTCTTCGGACGCGTTAAGCAATTACTGCTATCTGAATATGAGCCGTCAAATAAAGTCTTCGATACTTTGAAATCAGTGAAGCATTTAATACAAGATTTGATTGTTCTTATGAAAAATTTATTAACGTCAGCTTAGGAGCGCATTTAGATAAATCTTAGCACACATTCTGAATGCTTCATGAGTTATATGAGTTGTTTCCGTTTTCACATATATACACGATTTTAGATTCCAGGGCAATTTTGTTGTCTAATAATTCATAGTTTATTTTTTCTGAAATGTCAGCTTGAGATGTACGTAAGTACGTTAGCAACTAGTCAACGAGCGCACACTGCACAATAAAAAAATCCCATTGTTTGTTTCACCTAGTATGATAAATAGATATTTTGTGTAATATTAATGATTATTACAGAACTAGCTGCGAACGAGACTGCAAACATTTCATGTGATACTAAAACCCACTAATTATTGGTTACGACGGCTAACACGAGAGAAATGTGACATGAAACGCAACCGTGAATGTCAAAGTATCGAGTAATCAGCCTTAATATCGTCAATTGGGTAGGCATTACGATAGTCTCCAAGGAAACCATTGTGTTGTATGCTATCTGGCGTATCTTGTATGCTCACAGACTGGTGACGATCTTACTATCTGTATTAAGGGAAAGCTTTGCATTCATTCAATTAAGTCATATCAATTCCGTTTTAAATTGAATGGAAAAAATATACCCCCCCCCGTTTAGTTGTCTAATAGTTATGTTTATTCTATGACTTGCGTCAGTAAGGTAAAGAAATCGCCGTCCTACTGTTTGCAGGTTGGGTTTGCTGATCAGCTAATAGGTAACATATATTAATTGAACTTGTAGTGTATGAAAAAAAAATGAAATAGTCGCTTTACATAACAATTTACAGAGTGAATGCATCTAGAGGATTAGGGGGGGGCTTTGGGTATGACAGAACGAGAGATTGCACGAACTTTAAATTGCGAAACATACACAGAAACGAAATTAATCATAATTAGACGCGAGAATTACCCATGGGTGGGTTGTCAATTTCCCGCCACTTGGAAGTAGTCAGTGAAATAATTAAAATCGTAATAATTGCCTTTATGACCAATCAGTTACGTTGCCGACCGATGAATCACATGGATTCTAATTATCAATTTGGAACGTTTCTTCGGGAAATGAGAATATGTGTATTTAAAATTTAGAATATAGTTGTCATTTAAACCTTGTTAATTATTCAAGCCAATTATGCAAATCAAATCACCGGATTAACACTAACCTCGCGCTTGGGTTTTTTTTACTTGCGCGACTCAATTGTGTTTGGGAAATCATCTAAAACTCCCCTTTCATTCATGTCCGAATTACATTACTTTATCGGGTAATTTAATATATTGTGTGGGAGACACCATTCACAGTATACATAGCCTTATGTTATAAGCAAGAATCAAATTTTAATTTATAACATTTGGCAGGATATTTTAAATTTTGAAAGTCATTTTCAAATTATTAGTTGTAATATTCATCGCCTCGCTATCAAATTAGTCTCTACTGTGATGGTCAACAAAACTCGCTCCTATAGCCAGATGTTCGGTAGAATTCGTGCCTATCAGGTGATGTTCCATGACCTTAAATAAAACTCGCTCTTATAGTGAGATTTTCGGTAGAATTCGTGCTTATCAGGTGACGTTCCGTGACCTTAAACAAAACTTGCGTATATCGCGCGACGTTCGACAAAATACACGCGTGACTTTATCGCATACGTCGTTACAATTGAAGGGCAGGGCAGATAACTTGTTCTTTTGAAATTGATGTTTGACATCACCCAATAGTACACGTCGCGTTTTCCAAAAGTAAAAATACAGTTTTATGTTTAATACTTCAATAAAGTTCCCAACAGGCAACAATATAAACACTTGACAAACTGGGATATTTCACACATAGTGCAAAAAAGTAAAGGTGCGCACAAATATACAACATTTTAAATCAGCTAATAAATACATCATCATGGTGTTGAAAGTCTCCAAAATGAAGGCTATTAAACTACACTTGTATTCGCACTACTGGAAAAGTTGACCAAACGAACTGATCACTCTGAACGTATCATTCCGCCATTTTAAAAAAAACAATTGGTTTTTGCTAATAGTTCCTTGCACAAAACTAAGACTTGCCTATTCTGGTATCATGTTACATTTTTTATTTTAACTATAAGTTGTTAACTACTATTCAATCCGATTGATGGAAATTGAACGTAGATGGCCGCCGAGATCTCGTTGAGAACGAGTGGTCCACGTGACTTGATCTCTCCTGTCATCCAGTCTACAGTTACATACAGTCTACATAGATTACTATTTGAAGGGCAAACACAAGTCTCGAAGCTCTCTCGTTCAGTACGAGATCTCAGCGGCTATTTGCAGTTGAGATCTATTGAGACAAGCCTGCAAAAAAGCAAAACATAATTATAATTTGAATGCTAATTTTGCGTTTTAAGTGATATCTTTCCGAACTCCCTCGGGCTTAAGTTTCTTGATAATAAAGGTTGCGTACATCGCTGTGTTGTATCTAAGTTTTAATGCGATATTTACAGTAACACGCACATGTTTTGAGACTTAATAAGCACTTACGGTTAATCCAATGAAGTTGCCTCATCCCACAGGCGAGCCACCATCCTCCGCTGTTTCATCCCATTATGCATGCAAATATGCATCTGCAAAACAAATTAGGAAAGCCTGGTATTACATTGAAATCCAATTGCGTGCTATAAATCACTGTATACTGATAGTCTAATATAGGCGCGTATGACGACACGGGTAAGTTCAGTTCTTATTAAAGCCAGCGGCAATAACTCATCTCTTGTGCTCGCGTTTTTATTTATTGCTTTCGTGCATAATCGCTTGGAAATTGCTTCCTTGTGCCGCTATGTTTGGTCTATAATTGATAGACGGATAAATCTAAATTGTGTGCTTTGGTATTAAAAACATAAATCAATTACCAAGACGGTGATAGCACACGGATAGGATTCATAATAATATTCCATTTCATTTTGTTCTCATTAAAACTGCTTTTGAATTACATTAATATAATAGCATTTACCAGCACGTGATCGCGACGTAATTAAATCGCAACTTCCCGTTTGTTTGTATTCGCCATTTCTGTTTCTGCTACACGTGTTGTGCCCAGAAGTTGGCATAGACTATAACGCAGTAGGTTTTCTGAGTTGTCTGAGTATAAATTGCAATTAATTACAAAATAATTGAGTCGCCGACTTTAATCATGGTCCGTGTTACATAATGCGAACGGCTTAAGCGCTGCGCCTAAAGCGGGAATAACGTAGACAGAAGCATTTATTTTGAGCGATATTAAAACGATAAAAAGAGAAGGCAGCGATACGTGTCTGTTACATATGCCGTATAAACGTATATGTGATAGGAAAAATACAATGGCGATACCTTACGCATTATTACCCACGCCGTGATACAAATCAAATATTACTATTATGTTTCAGTAATAAAGTAACGTCTATTGGGTATATCATTTGACAAATGAGTCTTGACTGATCATGAAAAGCTATCCTATGTTTCTGTGTATAATTACACCAGGGATATGAGTCCCTGACTTTATAGTACATTAGATCCGAAGACAAATACCGGTGGATCGGCTTTAAATCATCAAAACTCTGTAAAAAATCATTTGGGGTCATTTAAATGTCTTTTCTGTTGTCGTTTAGAGAAACACAAGACATTTTATTCTACACCCACCCTCTCGAACATATAATTGGACGCCTTTTGGTAAAATCGAAAAAGTTAAATTGGTAATCTGATAGGAATACATCATTCTTGCCGTGGATAATTGGCAACAAATTAAACCTTCTTTAACTTGAGAACTTGTTACCATTCAAATAACGACCTAAGGGGGTTTACCATACACATGCCAAACCAGTTTTAGATAAAAAGCTCACGTACATGAAAGCATATCAATGTTTGTTTTTTTAGCTGTACACGAAGATCTATTGTGTATGAAAAAGGTTAGAATGCTGGGAATAATCTAGTTACGTCATTGTCGATTACTTAGCCATCAATAGATTTTATTGAAATATTGAAATATTCACATATACCGTACATAAAATATAAAAATTTGTTTTCTGATTTGTGATTGTATCTCTTTTTCGTAAATTTCGCGTTATGCCAGAGAAGTAATCGTAGACGAATGTTTTCTACTATAGGTAACGTCTGTAGACTCAGGCGGCCTTTATGTATATAGGACAGTAATCTGCTTTGTGTAATCAGTACCTTTTGAGTTGGCTGAACGAACATGGGAGCGATGTAACCCTTAACCGAACTGAATGCTAACACGAATTATAAATGTAACTCGCTTGTGAGTTGTTTGAACATCTGTTGCATTGTATAGTTGTACAAGTACTGCTGTTAAACTCCAGGAATTCTTACCCAGGCCATTCACATATAATTTATTTTTATTTATTTTTTTCACAGTCAATGCAGCGCCAACAGTAGACAAACGAGATACATCAAAACGGGGTATGTATATCATCCGATTTATTGATTAAGTAAAGTTGTTAGCTAGTAAAATGTTTTTGTTGTGGGATTGCCTCTTACTTTTATACGGCCCAGTCCACCAAGAACATTGTCGTATTTGGACGTATTTATAAATCAAATCTAATGTATGGGGAAATATAAATAGCTGTCGCATAAATCGGTCCACCCACATGAGAACACCCTATCGTCATATGAATATCTTCTTACTACACGCAAAAGTGCGCAACACATGTTATGTGTACATTTCATTGCGATTAAATGTGTTAGGAAACCAACTAGTGAACTAATAGCGCGACATTGTTACTGTATTCGGGTAGAAACCACTAAACGTTCTGCAATTGACAAATACGATTGTCACACATGTGAACTAACACTTGATATATTGAACAATATTACAGTGATGTACAATATGGGATATGCACATGTCAAGTACACGCGCAATTACATAGGTACATTGTACCCATGTGTCTTTGACGTTTTCTCGTGGCGTACATTTTATTAAGTAATATATTAAACGCGCCACTTGAGAATTCATTGCAATCAACGGTATAATATATATAAATCAACTGAGACAGCCCGTTATCAGAGGTCAGCTCAATGAATATTGCACTCCTTGTTGTGTGTTAACCCGTGGGGGATGGGGGAAGACGACGGTTCGTTTTCCTAGCATTAGTCGCTAAACACACTTGTTATTCCACTGGATAATCGGGCTCAACTAATTGTATTTACTCAAGGAAAATCGATGTCGTTTTTCCATTTGAAAAAAAATGTAATCTTGTCACTGAAAGAATTTATTATCATTTAGTCGTAATGTCCTTTCATTTCCGAATCTACTGTGTCATTGTGCATATTTCGTTAATCCGAAAAATGACAAATAGACTTCCTTTTTGAATACTAGTTAGTGTGGATACAGAATACAAACACATAATTACCGTCTATGCGTTATCTCGATTCCGTTTCACTCATAGACTATTTTTTTTAAATTTTTTGAACAGTATTTTGGGTAGATAAGAAAAACGCAGACCTTGGTAAGTGCTTTTAGTTTATTGGTAATATCATTACGGAGCATTTCCGGGTAGTTACTGACCTTTGGAATTTGCTACGTATCTTAGAAGATCAATTATTATTTTTTTTAATAATTTAGATAGATATATGAATAAATAATATATTAACTATAAGTTATTATGTTGTTTTTTCAGAAAAAGAAGATGACAAGAGAGGTAAATTATATGTGTGTGTGACGTCATATAATTAGCATATTTTCATTAGTATATTATAATCTGGTTAGCAGCGATTTTCGTAAAAGTAGGAAATATGGAAATATTATCATTTTTTTACCTATTGTTTTCTACAATAATGTTAATTGCTAACCATAATTTCTACTGATTTTAATGTACACAATTTTATTAATTTGTTATATATCTAAACGCTCTCGTACCATCGATTAAGGCAAACATGACAGTGAATAAAACGTGCGATCAGTCCTTGTTTCTTGCTGACGTATAAGCTCGCTATCAACTGCGGGCACTAATGAGAAGAAATGGAACATCGATATGTGAAAGGTACCAGGACTTCGTACCACACATGCGCACTTACACCTACCAGCGTGTGATCGTGGTAATTAATAACACCAATATGTAACGCGACGAATGTCATAATTAATCCTAATTATTTAGTCTGTATTTATTGGGTTGAAAATGCATATTACCGAGTCATACTGTCAACTAGCCCGGGGCCAGACTTAGAAATGAGGGACAACGCAATACAACTCAAACATACACATGTTTTGAGAAAAATGCGTTACTCTTTGGGGCATGAACAACTGGATCTCGTGCGTGCACTGTGAATGCGAACAGCACTCGGGGCAGCTTTACGCTCCTCCGACAAAACTGCGACCCTAGCAAGCGGGCAGGCAGAATGTATTTGTTGTCACTGCTGAGTATGCAGCCGACGGTGCGAGTCGAACCCACCCGCAGTCTGATAAGCTGACACACTAATCATTACCCCACAAATTAGTTATTCGTTGGTTTTATTTCTCAAATTCACTCGTTAGTAAATTTTTATAACATTTATTTTCTACTTTCTCTACAGTGTTCTGGGTTGACAAGAAAGACGGTGAGTGCAACACATCGTATCCTTACAATGAATGCAAACATCATTACAGCTGTATCTCCGGTGTCCGTTCAGCCGATCGCAAATTACAGTATTTCGTTGAACGGCTCACAGTGGACTCGTTAATGAGGCATCTTAGTTAGTTAACACCGTTAATGATTCCCTGAACTGTACCTACACGTCTCGAAAAACGTCGAATTTAACAGTAATCTTGCTTTCAAATGACATTTGTATTCTCGTTTTGCCTTTGATAGCATCCCAAGATGATATAGACAAAAGAGGTACGTTTATTTTGATATGTGTGTGTATGTAAAATAATTAGACCATTAATTATATAGAAGTGTATAGTGAGAATTCGCTATAGGGTAACTAAGAGTGTGCACCACGAGTCTCTTCATCTTGTCAACGTGCATCGCCGATTTGGGAGTCCGCGTCTCCTCAGTAAAATTGCAGGTTCTTTGTAACGTGCGAGACGATAAGATTTGAACAGCTATTCGTCTCTTGTGATTAACCATTCTGAATTCTCATGACTATCCTAATTATTGTGGCAGGCCACCGTGCCCCCTAAACGAGGCATGAAATGCCAACCACCTAGCTTGCTATTCTAATGGTTATTCGAGTGTATGTCACTGTAATGTCAATACAATTGTATTATTGTATACTACTTTCTCATTTAAATTTGTAGAGGACCTTTAAATGCGGGTCAACAAATATATTCTAGGTCGTCACGTCACTTGGGTGAAGCACAATTCTCAGCTTCAGGTGACAGTATCAGCAGATTGAAACTATGATTAGGAGAAACATTGTTAGCACTTAGACCATGCACTGTTAGAATTGTTGTCAAGTACCTCGAATTGTCAAATTACGAAAAGGAATAGCATATGTCTTTCTCAGGCTAATTTCGTGGAATCGCCACCGCTCCGATCGTAAAATAAAAGTCATTTTCCGGGTCATTGTATGCTTTGCGACTAAATATGAAACTAGAACGGTTCATTGATATAAGTTTTCAAATCATAACTCCAATATAGCCGATCGCGACGGTAATACAGATCTTAAAATATTTGTTCGTATTGAGGGTAAAGTTCAAAGTAAATTAATGTACATTTCTTTTCAAACTGCATTAGTGTACAAATTGTTTTTAAACTAAATTAAGCTACAATTCGTCCCCAAACCACGTCAATGTACATTTCATTTTATATATGTTATGTAGATATATGATTTTAAAGCGTAGATTATAATACTATTATTTCTATATAACCAGTTGTATTCAACTACGCACCAATTGCAAAAATGTCAACAAAACATTTTTTTAATTTATTTATTCATTCATGGCTTGTTATTTTTATTGTCAGTGTTCTGGGTTGACAAGAAAGCAGCAGCTGCAGGTAAGATATACTACTTACATTTACATTAATGTCAATTTCTCTGTTCTGAAATAAATTACTAGATAATTTGCTGCTAATGCAAAAGCTTCCAAGGAAAAAGTCATCGAATTTTTCGATTCTAACAGGTTTCTTGAATATAGCCTAAACGACAATGTGTTTTACACGTGCACACACCCTCACTCATAAGTATAACTTGGACACAAGCTGTGAAACATGTCACGTGTCACACTAATGGATGTCGATGTATCTTCGACATCATAGCGACGACAATCAGCTTCTAAGTTTAGAACTCCGTATAATCTGTCCTAGCCCACACTGATCAAGTACTGAAACAACAAACTTTATAAACTGTGGAGTTCACACCTCTCAAGCGATAACCTTTGCTTTGAGCATTAACGCAAATATGTGAGAGGACTAAAATGCACTTCACTCATCATCCAAGAGACAGGTTGACTATATAGACACAGGGGATTACATATCAATTATACGACAGTGCTTGAAAAGCATACTGACTGTTCAATCATTAATCAAAGTACGATAACATATCATCTTAACACGTTGATCAAATAGAAGAGCGGAAAATATTGTCTATCACGTCTATCATGTAAAGACATTTAATATAATATTAAAGTTATTATTCTCTCTGTTATTTTTTCAGATAATCAGAAAAGAGGCAAGTATCGATGAGTTATTACATATTGACAAAGGTAGATGAAAAGGATCTGTGGGCATAAATCAAAGATGATAATGTAGTGTAATGTCAAATCTCCAATTTTTATTTATTTAATTTCTCCCACAGTTTTCTGGGTAGACAAGAAAAATGCTGATGCAGCAGGTGAGATGCCACCTTACCCATCCACTTGTATTATAAGTCTCTGGCCACAACTTTAAAGAACGATTTACCATTGTCATATACGATTTACTTTTGTCTGTTGTGATATCATTGAGTGTACTACATGTACTGTTGCTGCTTCAAGTGATGGGTTTTAGATTCGTCTTTCTTAAAGTAGTAACGTGAATAAATAAATTCTATGACTAATTCATATTTTTTTTCATTTTACAAATCTGTAGAACAAGACAAAAGAGGTGAGGACATCAACAATTCATCGTTTTATCGCAAATTATTTCTTCAATTGTTAGTATTTAAGTTGATAAGGTATCTTAACGCAACTCAGAATGAATATTCAATTATATGGCATTAAAGACTCTAAACAGAATACATAATCATTATATTCTAGTTTTCTGGGTGGAAAAGAAAAATGCCGACGCAGCAGGTAGGTTTCTTACTGTCTTACGCTCATAATATTACACGAGCTGTTTAGTGGTCCCATAATCATAATTATTCAAGCTGACGATATAATCGTATCGCTGTTACTCTGGAGTTATTCAATAAAATAGCTTCATTTGCATTGATGTACAGCAAAACAACTAACTATATCTAGGTTTGATCTCAAAAAACAACAACATCCACACAATAATAGTTAGCCAATTTGGATATATACGTGAATAGAATTAGAGTTAAAAAATAAAATAAAAAATATGGATATCAAGTTAAACATCATAGTCACGAAGCAATAAAGTCTCCTACTTGCATGGTACATCGTCGATGGGTGAACAGCTTCCTGTTATAAAGACTCATAATGAGGACATTGAGAGTTTCCGATAATACATATTATAGCATTACATTTTTTTTATTGTGTGAGAATGAAGTGCTTTTTCCAACCATGATGCACCGCGACTGCGCCAATGTCAACCTATATTCCTTCGGGCACTCATTATTTTCAGATCTTAAGATTTTTTTTCTTTTTTTAGCTTTTTTTTATTAATTTAATTGTCAAAAACCAATCACCTGTACATATATACGGTATAAAGTTTTCCGGCCATCAACAGAGAATGACGTACTAGAGCGATAACAAAATATGATTTTAAATTCCGGTGAAATAAAGTTAAATGAGGCGTCGCCTAGCAATACATCCAATTAATAATAACATAATGTATTTCCCTTTTTTTCTTTCTTTGTAATGAAGCCGCAGATCCAAACAAAAGAGGTGAGAATAAGTATGACTTGACGCGTTATTATTATATTATGTATATATCTGTGCAATAATACATTTTACATATATGGTATTCACATTTTTCTCCATTTAACTTGCAGTTTTCTGGGTTGAGAAGAAGGACGATGACTCCAAAGGTTAATATTTAGTTAATATCGTAACCTACCGAATAAGTTCGGTTTTACATTATGATGACGTATGCCACATGAACTGATAGGCTCCAAACTGGTTAATATTCTTTCCAAAACCACAATACACGTTCCCACTAAAATGTTGTATAACATTTCTCTAAATTTTGCGTAGATTTTTAAGAAAATAAAAACATATTATATGAGCCTTTTATATGAACTGGTAAGGCGTTACCATCGGCGTTTTGTATGACATATTCTGAGTTCATGCTCGCCAACGATAACGGAAGCACTGTTAAATCGTCCCTGATTTATTTACATATGCAAATTAACTTATCGGTATTCATTTATTCTATTTTAAAAGCTGCAGATGACAAACGAGGTAAAGTTCGAGAACGTATTAACTGCCGGTTTTATCTGAAATACATACTAATTCTCGTAATACGGAACAAATTTTATCGATACTTATCATTTATGCAAACAAGGTGCAGACTGTTTTTTACAGCGAAACGTGATTAAAACAATATCATTGACAGTACAATGTGTTATCTGGTATGCAATCGTAAGTCTGAAACACGAACATCGTTACATGTTATAAGTGTGTGTGCGTGAAGTAAAAATGCACTTTAACACCTTCGCCATGCACAATCCATCAATGCTTTCGCCTATACCCGAGACGCCTATTTGCATGTCCTATTTTTATATTTACAGTGTTCTGGGTAGAAAAGAAAGACGGCAAAGGTATGTATCAATCCCAACTATTATGCATGTATGTGTAAATATATGGTAATGTAATGTCGTACATTCGTCATGACTATTATAGTGCGATTTTTATTGTATTTGTGTCGTTGTTTCTGTGTATTATTTGTACTTGTATCCATCATTAAATCAACCGATCGCAATGTTTTGTAGCTCCTTGTTTGTAAATCCAGGTTTGTTTTCAAATTCAATTAAGATATCTATCTGTTTGATTGAATGGTATTATGGAATAGCTCACATTTAAAATAAATTCAACTTGACATACCCCCACAGTAGCGGCGGCACGGAGAGCAGATCAAGATGAAACCCTTTGTGTCAGCAAAATTTGCCCCTCAATATGCAGGAAATAGCGTTTCAGAATGTCGAGATTTCAACATTTTTAAGGAAGGGCATTCCCCGTAAGGGATGGTGAGCAGATCTTGCCACCCCACCCCCATTTAGAATTTCGTGCCGCCACCTCTGCCCAAGATTACGATTCGTCTTTAACTACAATATTTGGTCGATGCCAATCTCTTTCACTTATATGTCGTTTGATATTATATGCAAAAAATGATACCATTATTGCAAGAATTATTTTTGTTTTTCAATAAAAAAACTTGATTGAGGTGCTTGTGCTTACGTGACCAGGCAATTTGGTAACTTTTCTAAATGTAGTTTGAGAATGTTAGCATTTAATCAAACGACTATTCATACGGAACCGAAACAACGTTTATCAAGCAAAAATCCTAAAATATTTTCAAAGTTGTCTGAATTTTCTCTTTACTTTGTGCTCATGGTAGTCACATTTATTATAACAAAATTGTTATTTATGTCAACCGGTGTTTTTGTGTATGTCTGCTCTTAGGCTGGTTGTGTCTGTAAGCAGTCGCCACGCGGCGTTCACGAGGATAACGCGTGTCTTATAGCCTCGATCACATGGCGCGTGTTCAAACTTTATGACCACCAGTATGCTTACTATTCGACGCTAAAGAATACATCTTCCCCTACTTGTTTCCGCTTTATCTAATTAAATATTTTTCTTTTCAACAGACCAGGAGAAAAGAGGTGAGCGAACATTATTACATAAGTTATGCTTTAGATGATATGATAACGCCCTATTTTTCATTTCGGACATACTTAGCATTAGCATTTTTACACTATAACCACTATAATGTGTAGCACATTTAGATGTGTGCACACATTCGATAACGGGAGATTCGAAAACAATTGACGGAGTTAATAGTCACCCAATTGTCCATGTTTTGACCTTAACTGAAATTATCCCTATATTAAGCCGAAACTTTTGTAAAATTTGCTACCAATTTAAGTCAAATATGAATAGATTTGAAATGCATGGTATTGAAATTAGTGTAACTCTAGCTCTAGTAATATGAGACAGGTCAAATTTGTATACTCGAACACACTGGTGTTCTTTTCAAATCTCACTTTCGAGCGCTAATTTATGTCCCGCCCATTTCACTGCCTGTCTACTGCAATTGTTTACTTACTTAGAAAGTCGCCCTCTATAGTTATGTTTAATCAGGCAATGTACACAACAAATATTTACGATATTATTAGTGTTAAAATTAAAAAAAATGTTCGTTATATAATAACAGAAAATGTAAAATCTTTGTTTTTCTCTTGCGTTCAGTTTTCTGGGTGGAGAAGAAGGACGACCAAGGTAGGTGCACGTCAAGTACATTCAAATAGTCTAGCGCTATCATTGTAATATAACGTTCTACACTATCATTTGCTTTACTTTTTCATTATTTCTGCATGACACACAATACAAAATAAAATATTGTTATTATATAGGTTGTTTTGTGCACGATTTTTTTCAATCTAAAACCCAATAATCGAAAATTAATATTACAACTGGAATTTACTTTGCTCGTTGCCATGATATATTCATCCTCATTGGCCGTTAATATGTTTGTACATAGTAACATTCTTGTTATGAATATCTCGTCGAATCACGCGCACGTGTCGGTGGTTGTGGGTGTCGCGAACGAGCCTACACGCCGCTGGCGTAATATATACAATTTGCATATTGGCAGTATTCAACTTTCATCATATCTCTTCATTCACGTTGTGCCAACGTTTAACGTGTTTTGTGTTTCTTGAATTCAATATGCAGCCGATAAAGATAAACGAGGTAAGATAATTATTCCAGGATTCTGTCGTCTACATCGTAAAGAAATTGAAACATACATCAACATAACGCGTGTGTGATAATGAATTTGTAAAACAAAATGGCGGACTTATGTGTCACTAGTGCGGAATAATTGGTGTAAATCTTACTGTTGTATTTGTTTTCGTTTTTTTCACAGTATTCTGGGTGGACAAAAAAGAAGCAGACACGGGTATGACATCTAAGTAAGATTAGTCTCTCTCTTTTACCAATATGTTCGGTGTCCAGTGACGTCACATCCGGTATTGTGGTAGACGTGGAAGATCCGTCATAGTTTCCATAGTGACCGACAAGTTTTGTATTCCTCATTCAATCATTTCACAAGGATGTATGCGAGTATTTGTTGTTACCCTGAACTTTTCGTTTAAAACGGCGACTTTGGCTCTCACGTGTTTCAAGTGTGCTTATACGAAAGTACGAAATTCAATGCTCTCATACGTCCACCAATTAGTTGTTCAGTTCTTTTTTTTTTTCTTCTTCATTATTATTCACAAAGCACGCACGACAAATTAAGTGTTTCCTCCTTTTACTAGATATTAGAAATGTATTAACCTATTTATCATCGTGATGCAATCATCATTCTCTGCGTATTGTTGTATAATTTCATTGTTAATTGATTTAATTCACACTGGCCGCGCTACAAGTTCTGATTAAAATCTTTGAAACAAATATGAACACTGTTGTGTTTGTGTAAAAAACATAATTTGATATTGCCTTCAAAAAGCTGTCCTATCGTAGCTCGCATAAAGTGCCTACTGTTCTAATTTGTATAATTGGTATGCGGCGAGGACGCTACAATTGAAGGTTGTAGAAACATTAAAACGTCAATATTTGTTTAGAACGATGTTTGCCAACTCTTTAGTGTAAATTGATTTTACTAGATCACAGTAACTTTTTATGGCACTGTGTCACGTTTCGGATCGTAATTTTGCATTCATTCTATGGAACGTTCTTTTCGGTATTTGACACGTTGAACAAAAAATTCAGTACGCAAGAATGTGTAGTGATACACTGTACTAGTGGGAAGCGCAAAAAAAAAAGATTCCATTAAAATTATAAGTGATTTTAAGTCCATACAGCAACCCTTCATGCATATTTTATATACCCAATGTCTATAGTTGTAATGTTGCACGTTTGTTAAATATTTGTTTTAAACGCACAAATACCTGTCCTGGACAAACTATAGCTGCCGTAGATGGCGCTAATCTACTTGTCGTTATTACGTATTGTAGTGTAAAACGAATAGAATTGTGGGTCGTTACTGAATTGCTCGATTTTCTTTCCTCCATCCCAACAGCTGATGCGTTATATGACATGTCGAAAACTCAAGCAGAACTAATCATAGGTAAGTGTACTGTTGTCACGTGAGAAATACATGACCGTATTATGTACTTATCCACGTGTTGGTTCAACTGTGAGGTCGTGCTAGTATGATCCTCTGCCAGAATGAACGAGCAAGTTCTTCAAATGTTCTATGTAAATTTACACCAGCTCAGTGGTCAGTGTGATGCCATGCATTTTGTGAGCAAACACGTTTAGTAAGGGTAAAGAGTTCCTTTTGCACCCTATTCCATCCCAGTGAAAAATAATTTTTCCAGTAAATGAAAAACTCTGAAATCGACCTTATCGGATACTGGGTTACAGCTGCACAATTGGCCGTAGAGGGCGTGATTTTATTAAAATGTTATTGATACTTATCTGAGAACTGTATTTTTTGTAGTAGAAACAAACTGCACACACACTATGCTCCATGTATTCACACCCCATGTTCTCTCTTGCCTTCGCAGATTGTTACACTATCAAATGCATTGAACCGTTGAAGGAGTGTTCATCATCGTGCAACGAAAAGGACGGCCACCAACAATCCTGCCTAGCCAGTTGTAAAGAGCGCCACGATAGTTGCGTTGACAATTGTGCAAAAGAAATGAACTGACACTGAGGGCGCCGTCTTAAATTCGAAGAAGAAAACTCATTATTGAATTTGATTTTCGCTTTATCGTATTTTTAAACTCCATAATCATGGCTGGCCTTTTCGTATCACTTTGTAACAAAATTATAGAATCTGTACGCATTCCCTGGTAATCGTTGGTCAGTTAAAATTTACTAACCCCAAAATATTTTCTTTATATTATATCGTTTTGATGAACAATTTTTGTTTTCTCTATACTTTTCCGCATGTATAAAAACGAGAACTTCGCGTGAATGTAAATACCAACTCGTTAATACGATTGCAGATCGAGCCTGAGATGGGGGAAGTGACGTCACATACGTCACTTCTATAATATTTCTTACTACCAACGATTTGTAAATTGATGTCAATGTTTTCCCATGTCAGGCTCTATTTGTGACAACATTATGAGATAAGATGTCACGCGGTGTCGACGGTGAAAAAAAGTAAATAGTATAATAGTTGTACACTGTTATTAAAATATGCAACGTGATTGGATGTAATAAAATAAGTGTTATCTTTTGAAATGCATCTGCCTTGTTTCTTCTTGCTAAGTGTTTCTCTGGAGACCAAACTTTAGAGTGCCCTCTGGCGTTGGCTGCCACGTATTTGTTTTTATTTTGACACTATACTGTAAAAGGATCAATTGTTCACTGGGTTTTAATTTGGCTTATTTCGCTGAATGAAAAATGCGCTAAATTAAAACCCAGTGAATATGTAAAATTTAGCATAGAATACATTATCTAAATGACAAAACCGTGAATTTAAAACCCACTGAATATACCTGAAATGGTAAATCAGCGAAATTTAAACCAAGTGAAAATTAGTCATTTTACAGTACATAATTAATAACGCCCTCTACGTTTGACAAAAATCCGGGCTTGAAGCAATTCGTCCTCATATTTCTAAAAAAAAATATAAACGTTGGTTGTCTTTTCGTTTCTTTTCAGTGAGAATTCTTCATTATAAAGGCTTCACATACTATACTCGCTTGCCGCATATCTTGTTATTATACTGCCCTCAATCGCAATAAAATCATATATATCTTCTTTTGTTTTTTAATTACAGCAAATATTCAATTTCGCATTTTGAACATTATATCCAAGTTTTTTGCTACCTAACCCTCGTACTATGTATTTGGTATGTGAACAGCATGTGGGTCCATGACGGCTAATGACGTCCAAGTGAATTCCCAAAATGTATGGAATATAATATTTAGGTTTTTGACTTAAATTCAATTGATGATTTGGTGGTACGTAATCACAATTTAGATTTTCGCTTTAATTCTCCATTTTATAACTGTAGTGGCAACGTTTCACTTTATTGAATCACTGGGGGGGGGGTCTTTTCGGTTAGTTGTATATTTTCAATCGCCGGCGAGCCCAACAACAAATGTTAACAAACGGAAGACAAGCGCAAACTACAATGTTAGCAGTCAGGTCTGTTCCCATGTGGCTGTGGGAATTCCGAGAACCGTAACTATTTCCTAACAACAAAAAACACCAACGCCCACTTTCGGCTCAAACATAGAGACAATACACGATTCGACACCGACCCTAAAATAATTTTATTACTCAAGTTTTTCAAACACGGAAATGACGATTTCATAAAAGGCGATAGCACTTTTGAATAACAGTGTGTGAACAAAGTTTCAACAAATGACATGACTGCACTATAGCAACGTGACAATCAAAAGACGTGTTGATTCGCCACGCGTCCAGTTATGTAAAGATTTTTGCACTTTGCCTCAAAATATAAAACGTATCAGAAAATAACTCAGACGCCCTCAACGTTACTCTGGCTCATATTTTCTAAATAGACGTACAACTAAATGTCGTTATGTGAAAGATTTCACATAACTGACTGGAAACATTGTAGATTCCACTTTCTTTTAGTCTATCGTAATTTACGCTGTAAAATACCTGAAAAGAATCCTAGTGCGTCAAGAAAAAGAAAATAAGACTTAATTTCGTCGTTCATTTCAAAATTCTCTTGTTGAAAGGGAGATGTCGCCGCCACAGGCATAAATTCGAGAACCACACTTAAACTTTAAATTGTGATTGCTTACATTAATTAGTAAATTTACGCCAAAAACCAAGATTCTAGAAAATACTAGAAATTTACTTTGCCATCATTATCCACGCACCCATGTCTGCTTAGTATTGCATTGTTATGTAAGTTTTTTAGTCATTAATCATGTATTTAAGAAAATGTAATCTAGATAGTATGTATTTACATAATACATCTAATTTCGAGGTTAGATAGCTACTCAGAAGGCCAGCAATGAAAACCACGAAATTTAATTTAATTCGAGATTAGACTCATGCAAGTCACAAAAAAGAAACAAGTATATTAAACATTAAACAATATATTAAATGTCAATAAAACCGAGTTTCAAACACAAGCTGACTCTTAATATATAGATCCAACGACATGACAGCAAAAAGAAGAATTTGTCAATATACTAGTAAGACTTTAACAAAATTGCATGATAGTATGATGTCACTCGCACACAGGATGTCAGTATTACATAATTCCTGACAAATGATGTCCAACAATTTAGACTATCAACATACACAGTAAAATGATGGGACGATGACAGAATTGCACTCTCTCTTACACCGTCGAGGGCGTGAAACATTTAATAGCTGGGCACTATATATACCAAAATACCACCACCTCAATACAATGTTTTCGGATCAGTGTCCAATGATTTATTCGATTACAGGTATCTACACCAGTACTCGCCATGTGAAGAAAAATACACATATCAATGGAGTGCCCCGTCCCCCAGGATGAATGGGTCAGTCGTCTGTATTTATCACAGCTGGCCAATACAATGTTTTCGTACAACTTTGATATGACCGTTGCCATATCAATTGGTCTATAGTCACTAAACGCAATGTAAAAATTCGTGTGTGGTGATCGAAAACATTAATTACTAAATGAAATTTAATAAATTATAGTTGATGGTATACTCTCGACATGAATGCAAACAAATTATTTCAGATGAATGAATGGATGAATGAATGGATGAATGAAAGAATGGATGAATGAAAGAATGTATGAATGAATGAATGAATGAATGAATGAATGAATGAATGAATGAATGAATGAATGAATGAATGAATGAATGAATGAATGAATGAAAGAATGGATGAATGGATGAATGATGAATAGATGAATGATTGAATGAATGAATGATTGAAAGAATAAATGAATGAATGAATGAATGAATGAATGAATGAATGAATGAATGAATGAATGAATGAATGAATGAATGAATGAGCAGCCTATTTGTATTATCAAGTTAGTTAGAAACTGTGTTGTATGGTAAACAATTAAAAACAGAAAGCAAACAGACGATATTAAATTGGAATTTTCAAAATTATGGAAGTCGCTTTTCCAGAACCACGAACACTCGGTTAATTCACTAAATGTCTGATAAGCGTTCTTGTGAAATATGAATGATGTCATGCAGTCTAACAGACGTTATCTCAAACTCGCCTGGGAGCAGGTCATTCGGTAGTATAGTCGGTTCTATGTAGTATAGATATAAATATATATAGCATATATGTTGCTATTCCATGAACACACTTGGGACTCGCCCATCCCCGTTGCTAATCGACAAAATCGGGCAACTGTCGTCTCGGTAATTGAGTCACCTGAGAACGATTTACGAGCCGCGCGTACGGGATCGGATTTTAACAAGATATTGAGAATCTTTTCTCACATTCGTGCTCCCAATAGGGCAGTAAAATATCGCGTTCTTATCTCCGAATCGTGTTCTTCTGACAGGAATATGAACTATGAAGGATTTTTATGTTCTCATTGTCTGTCCTGGTTTATTATTTTCGATTTAAACCCGGCAACAGCGCCACAGATGGCAGTGTTAATTCGCGACAATATAAAAACAAACAAACATTCGTTAGCTTCGTAAACTATATTGAAAAAAAGAATACGAGTTATCTAAACAAACCCAGATTAATTTTACAATTTAAACATACAATCGCATTATGTTATTT